TACATGGTGGGCATTCATTCTGTTAAACTGGAGGTGTTCATTTTCATCCTGGTCCATGATGGATACATGTGACCAGCAGCAATGGAAAGGAGCACTGCATACACAGGTATGTCACTTTTGTAAATCCACAACAGGGTTTGTTGGATAAGCAGTGCACTGTTTACAGGACTGGACGATTATATAGTAGTTCCATTTGGGTTGTAGTCTGTTCCTGAATGGTATTTTCACCCAGTTGGAGCAGCTTTGTACAAGGCCAGCTATGGAGAGCCCACATCTAAGTGGGTATTTGTATGTCTCTTCTGCCAACAAACCAACTACAGTACAGACAAACCTACTGTAGTAGACCTACAGTATGACAATTACATTTTAGTCATTTAGCAGACGCTCTTATCCAGAGCGACTTACAGTTAGTGAGTGCATACATTTTCATACTGGCCCCCCGTGGGAAACGAACCCACAACCCTGGCGTTGCAAGCGCCATGCTCTACCAACTGAGCTACAGGGGACTACTATCACAGTTATTCATATTAAACATTTTTCTACTGGCCCGTGGTCACATTGAAAATGTAATCCAGTCTTTAGAGCAATATGCAAATGGGGATTATATATTTTCTTGTGTTTGTAATATTCTGTTTTGTTATATGAAGCTAAACTTAATTGGTGGGTTGACAGAATACTGTGTCCTGAGGTACCCTGGGACTTGAGTTGAAGTCTGGCTCTGCAGCAAACAGTCTTTAAATCACACACTTACTCAAGAAATGTTCAATCTGCAAATTGGCCTCTCTTTTATTTATTTATCCATCTTTAATCGAGAGTAGTATTCTGTCTGAGCATTGGGGGGTGATGTCATCTGTTTTTTAAGAGTGCCAACAGTGGCAAAGAGAATGCAGTATGGCTTACCTCATGCTAAAAGACTAATTCAAGGTAGACATGGTAGGTTTTTGAGCTCGAATGACCAAGAAAGCTGTCTGTGTAAGTCTGATGTCATGGTATAAGGGAAAGGTTACAAACCATTCTATTGATTTCATAGGCAGAATCCAACCTAGAATACTTGAGATCTTACATTTAAATTCTTACATTTATTTTATTTTCTTTGACCTTTGTCCCATGTGTTTTTATGTACCACCACCAGTATACTAAAGAGAGTGTCCTCATTTGAAAATATTACGGATTGAGAATTCGAGTCCTTCTAAGACTCTTAACATAGTTTGAGGATCAGGATTAGGATTAATGTTGATTTTAATCTGAACATTTTAACAATTCATTCCTGAGTTCTGCCTCTTAATGCCTCAAATGATGTCCTTCCCAAATTAATAAAACATAAACACCATATAATTGAGAGGTGGCCTACTGAGATATTACAGCTTGTTATATACAGCGTGTTTCGGTAATGCAAAGCTTTTCTGCTATTGGATAATTTTTTCCTATTAATTAACATATGTAGGCCTACCTGTCAGTGTTTCTACTACATTCATTTAGCTGTGGTGCTGCGCCACAAAAAAATAATTGCGTCCACATACGGTGGACTCCCCTTCCAATTAGTGGATATGGCTATTTCAGTCACACCCGTTGCTGGCAGGTGCACACAGCCATGCAATCTCCATAGACAAACATTGACAGTAGAATGGCTCATACTGAAGAGCTCAGTGACTTTCAACGTCACACAGTCATAGGATGCCACCTTTGCAACAAGTCAGTTCGTCAAATTTCTGCCTTGCTAGAGATGCCCCGGTGTGCTGAAGTGTGTAGCGCGTAACAATCGTCTGTCCTCGGTTACAACACTCACTACCAAGTTCCAAACTGCCTTTGGAAGCAACGCCAGCACAATAACTGTTCGTCGGGAGCTTCATGAAATGGGTTTCCATGGCCGAGCTGCTGCACACAAGCCGAAGATCACCATGCGCAATGCCAAGCGTCGGCTGGAGTGGTGTAAAGTTCGCCACCATTGGACTCTGGAGCAGTGGAAACGCATTGTCTGGAGTGATGAATCCGACTGACAAATCTGGGTTTGGTGGAAGCCAGTAGAACGCTACCTGCCTGAATGCATAGTGCCAACTGTAAAGTTTGGTGGAGGATTGGTGGAGAAGGAATAATGGTCTGGAGCTGATTTTCATGGTTCGGGCTAGGCCCCTTAGATCCAGTGAAGGGAAATCTTAACGCTACAGCATACAATTACATTCTAGACGATTCTGTACTTCCAACTTTGTGGCAACAGTTTGGGGAAGGCCCTTTCCTGTTTCAGCATGACAATGCCCCCGTGCACAAAGAGAGGTCCATACAGAAATGGTTTGCCGAGATCAGTGTGGAAGAATTTGACTGGCCTGCACAGAGCCCTGACCTCAAACCCAATCGAACACCTTTGGAATTAATTGGAACGCCGACTGCGAGCCAGGCCTAATCACCCAACATCAATGCCCAACCTCACTAATGCTCTTGTGGCTGAATGGAAGCAAGTCCCGCAGCAATGTTCCAACATCTGTTGGAAAGCCTTCCCAGAAGAGTGGAGGCTGTTATAGCAGCAAAGGCGGGGCCAACTTCATATTAATGCCCATGATTTTGCAATGAGATGTTCGATGAGCAGATGTCCACATACTTTTGGCAATATAATGTATTTCTACAAACATACTTTGGATAATCTGTCCAGGTACAACACCGTTCTAAAGGTTATTTAGCTTTTAGTAACTTTGTCATTCCTCCTCAGACCTCAACCCTCACCTAGTCAAGTCTCACCCCTCTTCCTTAACCCTAGCTTAAATAATTTTATTTTTATGCTAATCTCATGCTATTCTACACATTTTGCAATGAGGCTGAGATAAAGTTTTGCAGTTTTAAAGCAGTTTTCTACTGTTAAAACAGTTTATAACTGTAATTGTAAACATTTTCCTATTGTAACAGTGTTGTTTCCATCCCTCTCCTCGCCCCATCCTGAGCTCGACCTAGGGACCCTCTGAACACATCGACAACAGTCACCCTCGAAGCATCACTATCGCTCCAGAAAAGCCGCGGCTCTTGCAAAGCCAGGGAAACAACTAATTCAAGGTCTCAGAGCTAGTGACGTCACCGATTGAAACGCTACTAGCGTGCACCGCTAATAGCTATACCAGGGATGGGCAATTTAATAGACTTGATCCTCTCAATCCATATATGACGTGAGACGCATTTGACAGAAGTACAGAAAGTAACAAATTCTAGTACCAAACCGTTTTTCATGTTCTAGTATCGAAAAAGTACCGAAGTTTCGGTATACCATGCAACACTAGTGGAGAGAAGATTGAGCAATTTTATAACACATTTCATGCAATTCTACTCATTTTGCCATGGGGCGGAGAGAAATGTTTTCAGTTTTTAATATGATATCTGAGTGAGACTGACTTACAAAATCAATGGGGCCTGTAATTCGACCATGATAACAAGTTTAGATAGCTGGCCGCTAAACTAATTTAGCAATGTAAAAAATGTTAGCAGACATGCATGGGCTAATTGACTGACTATCAGTGACTGACATAACAAGAGTAAAACTGCTGATGCACAACCAAATTTCGAAATTGCACCTTGTGTAGTCTACTATTCTAACTCACAACAGTAAGTTGAGACCCGACTGAGTTCCTAAATATAATACTAATTTAAAAACAACATACTTTTTTGGGTGGGGTGGGGTGGGGGGGTATTGATCCGAGGGCCTTCAAAAGGGGGGTCTCATTTGGAAGGCCCTCCCCCCCACACACCGCTCCCCCCACTACTACTCTGGTATTAATATGTATTCACCTTGCTAAACCACATTTTGTACTAAAGTCATGAACACATCCCACTGGGCACAGACGTCAATTCAACGTCTATTTTACGTTGGTTCAATGTAATTTCATTGGACCAGTGCAAACCAGGACCAAGCAAACGTCAGCAATGGGACAAGGGGCAAAAACATTTACACAATTCAACTTGGTAGCAAGAAACCTTCTGAAATGTCAACCACATACATCTGATCACAGAAATCCCATTCACTTGTTCTACTGTCACACTGGAATTAGTAGCTATTGTTGGTGGAAGGGCAGTTGCTGACCATTAAAGTTCAGCTGGCCCTACAGATGCTTCCATTGGAAGACTGGTGGTGATAGGCACAGAAATCCAGCAGCAGAGAGAGAAACTCTGAGATTGCAATAAACTCTCCTATATGTTAATCCCCATTGAGGGACATCCCGTTTGTGTCCCAAATGGCACCCTAGTCCCTATATAATGCACTACTTTTGACGACTGTCTCCCTCACTTCACATCCTCCTTAGTTCTCTGTGCAACTAACCTGCATCGAAATGACTATCCAGACCACAGTGGCAGACTTACCATTAGGCAGAAGAGATAATTTCCTCAGGCATCACATCATCAAGGGGATTCGTGAGCTGGGCATAATTTAAAAAAATAATACTAGTAATATTTTGTTTTAAATAATTTATGGGCTTGAGCCCCCCCCCCCCCCCCCATGCTCTGTTCGAGCCTCCCACCCCCCAATCATTTCTTTCAATATTCATATAATCCAAGTGTATCTCATAATAATACAAAAAAGTGTCATTAAATCAGGAATGAATGTTAAGTGGCCTATTGACACGGTCAAACCTGCTATTTGAATAGCATGGATCAAAAACGGTTTATCAGGTGGAGCCAATCAGGTTCTTTACTTCACATACATTGATGAGCTATCTTAATTTAGAGCACTAGGACAGAATAAAGCCAATTCATTCACGCGTCTGGACCGGAGTCTAGGCTACCGCTATCCATCGTCGAACACCGATTTCTGAAGCAGCAGCACAGCTCCAATGTGCTCTGAGGGCAGCGACATACAATATAACTGTCATTACGACACCTGCTTTAGTAGAGGGTCGTTTGATATCCTCTTTCTAGAGTAGAGAGAGAGAAACGAGGACACGGATACAGGGTAGAGTGAGATACTCCGAGATAAGCGAGGGGATATTGCCAGACTACACTACAGGAACCTAAAGACAATTAATCCAATGGACGTGATGCTGATGTCTATAAGAATTGCGCTTGTGGGCTTCATCTGCCTGTTTCTAGTATCCGCTGGCTTCGCCTGTGGTCCTGGCAGGGGATATGGAAAACGAAGACAACCGAAAAAACTGAAACCTTTGGCTTACAAGCAGTTCATTCCCAACGTGGCAGAGAAGACCCTTGGGGCCAGTGGCAAATACGAAGGGAAGATCACAAGGAACTCTGAAAGATTTAAAGACCTGACACCAAACTACAATCCTGACATTATTTTCAAAGATGAGGAAAACACTAATGCTGACAGACTTATGACACAGGTAGGGATAGTAAGACATATAGTGAAATAGTGAGGAAGCGCATGAAGATGCATCTTGTGAGTCCTGAGTGATCATTTGGCACGAGAATAATGAATGACAGCTCAATTTGAAGTGACAGTTGTTAAACATCTATGAATGACATTTATGGTTACTATGCAAACCTATGTAGGCTCTAATATATTTTAAGCAATTTCAAACACTATCTATGCACCATATCGGACTATTTTTTGTCTATGGACAGTTCTGCACTTTATGTCTCCAGTTGGGCTTATCCGAGCATGAAAATGAAGACGTCGTTATGGATGCCCTGCGCAGGACTGCTACAACGAATTAAATGGGTTGTTAGGCTATGATACACTTGTACTATAGACTACCCCCCCTCTCAGTCGTTCAGTAAGTCTCTGAGCTATCACTAACAAGTGATCCTTTCCGTTGGACCCATAACAATAGGCATTAACAATAGCCTACATCTCTGCCTCTGTCTATCGGTCTGTCCATCTCTGTCTCTTTCTTTCTCTCTCGCTCTCTCTCTCACTCACACACACACACACACACACACACACACACACACACACACACACACATAGAGAGAGAGAGAGAGAGAGAGAGAGACGCAGAAAGAGAGAGAGAGAGAAAGAAAGAGAGAGAGAGAAGAATTCGACTCTGATATTTAAACTTCACTCTGATGTATAGATGGGTCAACTGATTTTAGATGTCGTTTGTAATTATCCTAAACCGTTACGAAATGTATTGCCTATGGATCTATGCTTAATTTGCATAGTTCGGAGGCAGGAGCCCAAGCCCTATATAGACACAACTTTTTCCTCTAATTATGACTTGGTAAAGTCTGACTGAACAATAGCCTACTTTTTACTACCACTCAGATATCGATTGAAAGTGGCTTGGGATTTGTGTGTTTTAATTTGACCAGTGACAGCCGCAGGGTCTCTGGGGAGGTCAGTTGCATTTGATGCACGTTCAAGCGTGCAGTGAAAGTTTTGCAACCTCTACATATATATATATTTTTTTTACATTTTTAGTCATTTAGCAGACGCTTTTATCCAGAGCAACTTACAGTTAGTGAGTGCATATATTTTCATACTGGCCCCCCGTGGGAAACGAACCCACAACCCTGGCGTTGCAAGCGCCATACTCTACCAACTGAGCTACACACATATGATAAGAAGCACAAAAAGTTGTGACATGTTTTTCTGACCTCAAAGGCCGAGGCTTTCAAATCGAAAAATGTACATTAATCAACAGACGGTTCTACATACGACAAATAAGGCTCTGTCTTGCCCCCTGTCTTGTACATGCTATAGACCGATATTGAGTGTGTGTGTGTGTGTGTGTGTGTGTGTGTGTGAGACATTTCTATTAACCCCTCGTGTTTCCTGATATCTCAATTATCTTTGTCTCTTTTTCAGAGATGTAAGGAAAAACTGAACTCTTTGGCTATTTCAGTCATGAATCAGTGGCCGGGAGTGAAGCTACGCGTGACAGAAGGCTGGGACGAGGATGGACACCATTTCGAAGAATCTTTACACTATGAAGGAAGGGCTGTGGATATCACCACCTCTGACAGAGATAAAAACAAATATGGAATGTTATCCAGGCTCGCGGTGGAGGCGGGATTCGACTGGGTCAATTATGAATCCAAAGGCCATATTCATTGTTCTGTGAAAGCAGGTAAACAACGAAGGAACAAACAATAATAATACGTTTTATGTACATTTCAAATGTTGTCCAAAAAATGTCAACATTATTTCCAAAACCGTTCATGAACTGTTTATTACGTACGTAGCTATGTCAAGCAAACCATTTATTCATTGGGGTTTGTGTTCGTTAGGCCTATGTATTTGCCTTGTTATTACAAAGTTATAAGACAATGCCTGTGACTCATATTGCAATATAGCCTATCAAATGCTATACACCATTTGTTAGAGCAGTAGGTCCTATATTTGCCCAGGTCATTCAGTTTACATTTAGAATTGTATATGACAATAGTGACTTGGTCCAAATTCTGTATTATATAATTCTATTTATTTTCTGCTCTTCTCTAGAAAATTCAGTTGCTGCAAAATCGGGTGGCTGCTTCCCAGGATCCGCTTCAGTTCTTCTCGAGGATGGTCGGAGCAAGCTGGTAAAAGAACTGGAGGTGGGCGACAAAGTGTTAGCAGCAGACAAAGAAGGACATATTGTGTCTAGCGATTTCCTCATGTTCATCGACCGAGATCCAGTAACAAGTCGAGAATTTTATGTTTTTGAAACGGAGAAGCCCAACAGAAAGTTAAGACTGACGCCCGCGCACCTTGTCTTCGTCAACAATAACGTTACGGATGGCGATATGACTGCAGTGTTTGCCAGTAATGTAAAACCTGGGCAACAGGTGTTTGTCGTGGACGAGGCACTAGACCACCTAAAGGCAGTCACTGTGGAAAGGATTTACGTGGAAGAATACGAGGGATCTTATGCCCCAGTGACTTCACAAGGAACCATCATAGTTGACCATGTTTTGGCGAGCTGTTACGCGGTAATCGAGGACCACAAATGGGCGCACTGGGCCTTTGCCCCAGTCCGGTTGGGTCACGCGTTGATGTCTTTGACAGGTCTAGTCAAAGAGCGCGAGGAAATCCCTCAGAGAGATGGAATACACTGGTACTCAGACATTCTATACCACATAGGGACATTGCTGCTGGACAGAAACTCCTTTCATCCTCTTGGAATGTCACAAAGTTGAGACCATTTCAAAGACTCATATGAATGCGCTTAAAGATGGAAATACTTTTGGGCACTGGAGCCATATATTTATATTCGTATTTATTCTCTTATGTATTCCTCCTATGATGAACCATTCGAATTTATTCGTCTAGAATAGTGTGAACAATCTGTGAAGAATTTATTTATAAACAGAAAAAAACTGTTGATGATTGTTTAATGTTATGTGCAAATGTGAACTGACTTATATTTTATTGGATGAACATATAGTATTGCCTCAATAAATTATATTTGTGTACATGTAGCCTGTATGTCAACCTGAACAAATACATTCTCACATTTCGTTTTCCAAAATCGACGATACATGGTTCAGCAACAGTGAAATTAGTTATCCTATGAAATAAGTGCCTTTATCTCTGTAAATGCATAAATGCAAAGCCTACTGAAAACGATTAGTCTAATTCAAAAAGTGCAATACAACTTTGTAAATCTTTGGTATAATGGTCTCCCGAGTGGCGCAGTGGTCTAAGGCACTGCATCGCAGTGCTAGCTGTGCCACTAGAGATCCTGGTTTGACTCCAGGCTCTGTCGTAGCCGGCCACGACCGGGAGACCCATGGGGCGGCGCACAATTGGCCCAGCGTCGTCCAGGGTAGGGGAGGGAATGGCCGGCAGGGATGTAGAGCATGGCGTTTGCAACGCCAGGGTTGTGGGTTCAATTCCCATGGGGGGCCAGTATGAAAAATAAAAAAAAGATAATGTAAGTCGCTCTGGATAAGAGCGTCTGCTAAATGACTAAAATGTAAATGTACAGTAGGCTAGTTTGGCCAAATACCTTTCAGATGAAGCATTGTTTAAAAATCTGTATTTCTAAATGCATAGCTCAACTTCTGTCCCCTCAGAATTATTTGGCACTATCAGAAAGATTTCTGTGCCTGCTGGTTCTAAATCAAACCATGGAGCAACTGGAGCCTCTGGTGGACATGAACCACCTGTCATCTGATCTACTGATATTATCATATTCTCAGTTATTTCATTGGTGCTTCAAAATGGCTCAGATATTCTGAATTAATAAAGGCAATTCATGAATGAATGAGAGAATGCATCAGGGAGCCCATAGCCCAACCTAACAGGTTGACTCTATTTTCTTAAATTGGTCAGGTCACGAAGTGAAGAAAAACGCTGGCATAGAGTGCTAGCCTTGGCTACATTCCCTAACCAGTCATGGTAATTAGGATACTCACAATAATACTGCTCCCTTTTGAAACACTTGGCAGTTGGTCAAACAGATGTCATGTTAAGAACTGAATCACACAACTTAATCAATAATTGCTCAGTCTATTCTCATCAACCCCGACCTCCAACATGCTTTGCAAAAATAGGGGCAGACATTTCCTTAAAGCTCCCATGCCATCTTTTTAATTGTATTTGTAAATCATCACTATATGTCTAATAAATCACTGTGTGTGTTTATTTCATGAAAATAACTCCAAATATATTTTTCTTCAAAGTAAGAGGATACATATGCAAATAAAAGATGAATGGTCATTGGTCAGAATAATCAGATCAGATGGTGATGCCATGATCTGGGCCAAAAACCCCATCCAACCTGAACAGGTTGAAATTCCAGATATTTTTTTAAAAACAGCTCTTACACAAAAAAGCATTATCATAATTTTCACAAATTCAGTGTTATTTTGACCTCATAGTGTGGAAATATCTTCTTTTTTTTTAAACAGGAAAATCACGTTTTTAACTGCACTGTCTGCCTCTTTAACCGACAGAAACAACTTTTAAAGTCACTATATTTCTCCATTTATAGAGTACAGCATTATATTAGATGTTTGAGCAGAGTATGGCTTTAGACAGAGTAAAACGTTGGTATTCCCGGAACTGAGAAAACAAGTGTCAACTGAATCCTCTCTCTTGCAGAACTGTGTCATTTTTCATATACAACTTTTTTTCTGTTCAGAATGTGAACCAGCAGTTTTCTGTTTCATTCAGTACCATGCAGCATTGCCCACAAGGTGGTGCTATGCACTAAACATAAAATCATCCAGGGAGCATTTCTGTTGTGAGTGTTATGGAGGTGTTGGGCCAACTTACATGAGCGCATTGTCACAGAAAAATAAATAGGCCTATTATCTCATAAAAAGCAAAAACACTATATAAAAATACCCCCAGTAGCTACATGTTTTCACCACCTGCTCTATTCAGGAGCCATTTTATCTTGAGAAGTTTATGGCCTACCAGTAGTAATGTAAAGTCCATTGTGGCATGAAAGAAGGCCCCGTTGGCTCCTGTAGAGGTAATTCCCTATGAAACTCCACTAGCACAGGATGAGAACAATTAATGACGCGTCCACATAGAATTGTCTTTCCAGACGTAGATCTGAATTGAAGATATAGAAGACAAGTAACATAAAGCAACATTGCATATAACTAATTAAATTAAATTGTATTTGTCACATGCGCCGAATACAACTTACCGTGAAATGCTTACTTACAAGCCCTTAACCAACAATGCAGTTTTAAGAAAAATATTTACGAAATAAACTAAAGTAAAAAAGAAAAGAGCAACAATAAAATAACAATAGCAAGGCTATATACAGAGGGTACCGGTACCGAGTCAATGTGCGGGGGTACAGGTTAGTCGAGGTAATTGAGGTAATATGTACATGTAGGTAGGGGTAAAGTGACTATGCATAGATAATAGATAATAAACAGCGAGTAGCAGCAGCGTAAAAAAAGGGGGTTGGGTCAATGCAAATAGTCCAGGTAGCCATTTGATTAGCTGTGGCAGTCTTATGGCTTGGGGGTAGAAGCTGTTAAGAAGCATTTTGGACCTAGACTTGGCGCTCCAGTACCGCTTGTCGTGCGGTAGCAGAGAGAACAGTCTATGACTAGGGTGGCTGGAGTCTTTGGCAATTTTTAGGGCCTTCTCTCACACCGCTTGGTATAGAGGCCCTGGATGGCAGGAAGCTTGGCCCCAATGATGTACTGGGCCGTACGCACTACCCTCTGTAGCGCCTTGCGGTCAGAGGCCGAGCAGTTGCCATACCAGGCGGATGATGCAACCAGTCAGGATCCTCTCGATGGTGCAGCTGTATAACGGTTTGAGGATCTGAGGACCGATGCCAAATCCTTTCAGTCTCCTGAGGGGATATAGTCGTTGTCGTGCCCTCTTCACGACTGTCTTGGTGTGTTTGGACCATGATAGTTTGTTGGTGATGTGGACACCAAGGAACTTGAAGCTCCCAACCTGCTCCACTACAGTCCCGTCGATGAGAATGGGGGAGTGCTCTGCCCTCCTTTTTCTGTAGTCCACGATAATCTCCTTTGTCTTGATCACATTGAGGGAGAGGTAGTTGTCCGGGCACCACACTTCCAGGTCTCTGACCTCCTCCCTATAGAATGTCACATCGTTGTCAGTGATCAGGCCTACCACCGTTGTGTTGTTGGCAAACTTAGTGATGTGTTGGAGTCGTGCTGAACAGGGAGTACAGGAGGGGACTAAGCACGCATCCCTGAGGGGCCCCTGTGTTGAGGATCAGCATGGCAGATGTGTTGTTGCCTACCCTTACCACCTGGGGGCGGCCTGTCAGGAAGTCCGGAATCCAGTTACAGAGGGAGGTGTTTAGTCCCAGGGTCCTTCGCTTAGTGATGAGCTTTGAGGGCACTTTGGTGTTGAACGCTGAGCTGTAGTCAATGAACAGCATTCTCACGTAGGTGTTCCTTTTGTCCAGGTGGGAAAGGGCAGTGTGGAGCGCAATAGAGATTGCGTCATCTGTGGATCTGTTGGGGCGGTATGCAAATTGGATTGGGTCTAGGGTTTCTGGGATGATGGTGTTGATGTGAGCCATGACCAGCCTTTCAAAACACTTCATGGCTACAGACGTGAGTGCTACGGGTCGGTAGTTATTTAGGCAGGTTACCTTGGTGTTCTTGGGCACAGGGACTATGGTGGCCTGCTTGAAACATGTAGGTATTACAAACTCGGTCAGGGACAGGTTGAAAATGTCAGTGAAGACACTTGCCAGTTGGTCAGTGCATGCTCGGAGTACACGTCCTGGTAATCCGTCTGGCCCTGCGGTCTTGTAAATGTTGACCTGTTTAAAGGTAAAACATCTTTGGGGGTAGATCAGCTTTAATATTGCAGATAGATTGTAACTTCCATCAATGTAATTGTCTGCATCACTTCCAATCCCCATTATGTTTATCTTTTCTCACAAATATAAATAATATACATACATACATACATACATACATATATATATATATATATATATATATATACACACACACACACACATATACAGTAGGGAGAACAAGTATTTGATACACTGCCGATTTTGCAGGTTTTCCTACTTACAAAGCATGTAGAAGTCTGTAATTTTTATCATAGGTACACTTCAACTGTGAGAGACGGAATCTAAAACAAAAATCCAGAAAATCACATTGTATGATTTTTAAGTAATTAATTTGCATTTTATTGCATGACATAAGTATTTGATCACCTACCAACCAGTAAGAATTCCGGCTCTCACAGATCTGTTAGTTTTTCTTTAAGAAGCCCTCCTGTTCTCCACTCATTACCTGTATTAACTGCACCTGTTTGAACTCGTTACCTGTATAAAAGACACCTGTCCACACACTCAATCAAACAGACTCCATCCTCTCCACAATGGCCAAGACCAGAGAGCTGTTTAAGGACATCAGGGATAAAATTGTAGACCTGCACAAGGCTGGGATGGGCTACACGACAATAGGCAAGCAGCTTGGTGAGAAGGCAACAACTGTTGGTGCAATTATTAGAAAATAGAAGAAGTTCAAGATGACGGTCAATCACCCTCGGTCTGGGGCTCCATGCAAGATCTCACCTCGTGGGGCATCAATGATCATGAGGAAGGTGAGGGATCAGCCCAGAACTACACGGCAGGACCTGGTAAATGACCTGAAGAGAGCTGGGACCACAGTCTCAAAGAAAACCATTAGTAACACACTACGCCGTCATGGATTAAAAT